TGCTACAGAATTAATAACGATGGTTCATCAGTTCATATGAAGTTGTATATTGAGGAGAGACATGAGCATATTTTAACTGTAAGTCCAACACACTAGCAGAGTTTATAAACTCTGCTGGTGAAATACTGTGCTTGTGGTATTTATAAACTTCATTGGCTGAACCTTTCCTACTGGATTAAAGAATGGGGTCCAGATTGGATAACAGATTTGCATTTGTCCTTAAATAGTAGGAGAGTTTCTCCTTCACTTATGTATATTCCATTTATCTTTTCCACTCATCTTTGGCAATGACCTGTTTTTTTCGGTTAAGAGACAGAACATTATTAGCTGCCATAATAAGTTAAGAGCAGAGCATATGCATGTGTCTTTGCCGGAATGTGACCTTATTCTGTGAACTCTTCTATATATGAATCATGTCTTTCTAACTGTGGTTCTGGGTGCCACTGGAATATAAAACAAAGATGATGATGATGATGATGATAGCTATTTCAAAACAAAAGGTAGAATTTTTAAGGATGGGGGAAAGAAGTAAATATTGTACTGCCTGTCAAATACTTGACAGCGTTTCTTTTTTGGAACAACAAGTGTCACCAAAATAACAAAATCTAGCATGTGCAGATGTGGGATTATGCAGTTTAGAAAGTGAATAAAACTTTCTCTTGTGTTTTTAAAATTGCACCACACTAGCATTCAGAAACATCCCCACCGCACTGAAGCTGGACCATTGTATCTGTGTGCCATTCTGTAGCAGCATTTTAAAACTTACTGCTAACTGCATGCAACAAATTTAATTTGTAATAACTGCTTCTAACTGATCCAGCAGTCCTTTCATGTTCATCTTCTCACCCTCTCACTTCTTATGCTCCTGCTTCTCCTCCTGTTCATTGTTCCCCCAAGGGTCAATTCAATCCCTGGTGAAATAAAGGGAGTTGAACTGAATCCTTTGTCTCCTTCTTCCATTCTTAACTTCATGCCCCATTTCATGCTGCTCCTATGACTGTCAACAAAGGGCTAGATTCACACAAGGGGACTTTGGTTTTGTGATGCTAACTCTGCTGCCTGGTAGAATTCTCAGCCCTGAGTTAGGCATCCGGGCAGCCCATACAACGCATGAGGAGTGCTGGGCATCTAACAAACAGATTCTCAGAAGCCAGCAAGCTGAGCAGGGAGTTGCCAAAGCTAGACAGGAGTGAAATGCAGAGGGAAGGGATAGGGTTCAAGCCACCAGTCCCAATGGAACTTAGGTGCCCTAACTATGGGGCTATTGGGTATTCTGGGGCACACACCCGGCCACAAAAATTACTGGCCTGCTCACTCTTGGCTGGGGCCTGATCCGGTAGAGATACAATCCAGCAGGTGTGGTCTGAGCACACCCACTGAATCAGGGCCCCAGGTGAGATAGTCAGGGGAACACCTAGTCTGAGAATCCTACCAAAGACCCAGGAACCAGTTGAGAAAGGGGAACAGAAAGGAACAGCCAGTGAGAGGGACCAGTGAGAGTTGCCAGGAAAGCGGGTCATGAGACTGAGAGAGAATTGCTGAGAGCTGTTGGGAGAGTGCTGCAGATGAAAACTATCAGGAAGAACTGACCAGACTGGAAAAACCCTGCTGAGTAAAAGGCCCCTAAGTAAAATGGAAGAACTAGCTCAGAGAGGCAGGCTGAGCCCAGGAACAAGAGGGTTGATTTTGGAGGGAAGTTTGAATGAGGAGGGGTAGGACTCACAGGAAAAGGGGAATCAGGACTGGAACACTGCAAGGGCCAGAAGATGTAAGTTGAGGGCTGTGGGAGAAGAGCGGCAAGAAGAATGGAGAATTGCCGGAGTTGTGGAGTCCCTAAAACAGTGACACAGGAATTGGACAAGAGGGATTGTTGACAGTTGGGTGGGCATCCTGGAGATGGTGACCCTGGAGTGCGGGGCTGAATGGCTGCTGCATTTTAACCTGCTTTACTTTGGGGGTTTGAAGAATTGTCTTACTTTGAGAACTTGTTGAAGGTTGAAATATTTCTAATAAATTATGCCTGGAAGCAGGCCTTGTTTTGGACTCCAAGAAGGAGAACACTCCTTGCCTGGGTGAGTAAGATGACCATCAAGCTGATCCATGGTGAAAAACTTGTGCAACTCAATCATCCCTAGGAGGAGGAGAGATGAAGGGGAAACGGAGGCAGGACTTGCCTATTTTGCAATGGTTGGCCACAAGAGGGTGCCCTGGCGGGGGGTGGGGAGGCGAACCCTCCAACATCTTCCTCCTTCCACTGTTGTCTTTCTGCTTTCTGTTTGATTTATTATTTTTAAGTTCATTGAGGCCGGGACCTTGTCTTTTTCTGCTTTGAAAATACAGTAACTCCTCACTTAACCTTGTAGTTACGTTCCTGAAAAATGTGACTTTAAGTGAAACCATGTTCAGCGAATCCAATTTCCCCATAAGAATTAATGTAAATGGGGGGGTTAGGTTCCAGGGAAATTGTTTTTTGCCAGACAAAAGGAGTCGGCGCGCCTCCCCCTCCCCGCCTCCTGCCTGCGGCAATCAACTGGCTTGCGGAGTTTTGAAGGTGGGGGGGAGGAGCGAGGACTTGGCACGCAGGCTCCTCCTCCCTCCCTTCTAAATGCGGCAAGCCAGCTGATTGCTGTGGGCAGGAGGCAGGGGAGGGAGGGGGGAGGCATGCCGAGTCCTCGCCCCTGCCCCCTCCCTCCTGCCTGGGGCAATCAGCTGGCTTGCCGCATTTGGGAGGCAGGGGAGGCAGGGGGAGCCTGCGCACCAAATCCTCGCTCCTCTTCCCCGCCTTCAAAGCACCACAAGCCAGCTGATTGCCCCGGGCAGAAGGAGGGGGAAGGTGCTGACCCGCTGGGTTTGCTAGCGGGCGGGAGGTGCTGTGGGGGGCGGCGTAGGGAAGACTGCCAGCTGTGGAGAAAGCAGGCAGCCAAACAACGTAAGAGTGGAGCATTGCACAGCTTTAAACAAGCATGTTCCCTAATTGATCAGCAAAGTAACAATGAAACAATGTTAACTGGGACAACTTTAAGTGAGGAGTCACTGTAGATGTCTCCTAAGGCTACATTTGGTAAAATTTTCTATTGAAGTCTAGTCTGTAGGTAATAGTAATATGATTCAATAGTCTCTTCTAGCTTCAGCAGTGGATGTGTAAAATGATCCCTAAACTGCATTCTCATAAATTTCAGATCAGTCTATGACTGTGTTGGCAGATTACATCAGAAAAGAGTATGTAAGGCTCCTCATGTATAAGCATGGTATCAGATTAAATCAGTCTCACAAATAGACTCTTTAGGTCCAGATTTTTATAGGTATGTAGGCATTGTGGTGTTCTGTGTTCCAACATCTAACTGATTAAGGACTGTAATTCGTATTTTCAAAAGGAATATAGGCACTTAGGGATGTAAATCCCACAGACTATAAATGGGATTTTGGATCCTAAACACCTTCTGAAAATGAGATTTAGGCTCTGAAATCAATTAGGCTTTGCAATGCTGAGCACAGCAATGCCTAAATACCATTAAAAATCAGGACCTTAGCTTCTAACTTCAGCAATACTATGATTGATGGCACACTCTCACTTTGAATCCTCTTCAATTTTGTTTCCTCTATTTCAAAAATGTTATAACAACACTAGAAAAGGCATAGAGAAAAGCAAAATGGTTAAAGGCAGGAAAAGAAAACACTAAAAGGAGTCTGATCCAAAACCCATTGAGGTCCATGGAAAGTCTCCCAGTGTCTTCAGTGTGGTCTGATTAGGCTCAAAGAGACTACAAGACAGAGGTGTATACATAAAATGGCACATAAAAAAAAACCTATGTGCAAAGATCTCTAAGACTGCAGGACAAAGCACTCACTAATTAAGAAAAACCACCATTCAGATTGCCTGTGCAATCTTCATAAGGCTCCTTTGTGAGTCTGCGTTAAGATATAGTCTTTGCAGTTTTACAAAGCATTACAAGGGATGGGTGGGTCTTGAAAATCACCACAAATATGTTACATGATTTCTGGACAGCCCTACAACCAAAACTGAAAGATGCTCAAAATGCTAGACCAGCACTTAAAACACCACTATACAAGTCACAGGGAAAAGCACTTCAAAAAGAGCATCAAGCTGGACTGCTACAGACCAATCCACTGTCAGCCTACCTCACCACAGTGAAATGTACATAACTAAGGCAGACTCTCACCAAATACAGATTTGTAACCAGAAACTAGAGATGTAAGTCAGGAGACACAAAGCCCCATTTAAACCCAGAGGAGACTGTCTGTGGAGTCAATGTGACCAAGGGCAAAATGAGACAATCTCTACTCCCATGTCCAAAATATAATAATAATTAGCTCTTATATAGCACTTTTCATCCACAGATCTCCAAGTGCTTTACAAAGGACATCAGTATCATTATCCCCATTTCACAGATAAGAAACTGAGGCACAGAGGGATGAAGTGACTTGCGAAAGGTCACCCAGCAGACCTTTGACAGAGCCAGGAATAGAACCCAATGCAAGTCCCAGTTCACTCTGCTATCCACTAGGCCACACAAATACCCTGTACAATATGAGAGAATTTAAGAAAGATACTCCTCAAACTACAATTTACCATGACAAAAAATCTCATTAAAAACAATGAGGAAAAACTGGGCTTGACTCAGGGAGAAGAGAGATGGCATCATGCTTTACAGCAATCTGTCACCAGATAAGGAATGGACAGTAATAACAATGACTCATAGGATCACAAACACCATGTGTCACCAAATCCTCTGACAGGTACCCGAGGAGTTAAAAATGTGTTAAGGCAGCATATGAGGAATCCATAACAATGTGAGAAAAACAGTTAATGGTTTGCATGTGGCTTGCCTCTAAATGAATAACAGAAAAGTACCAGTGTATAAACCTGGGATGGGTGAACTGAAACAGATTTTTGCAACAACTTCTGTAATGTTTGTTTCGATTTGTTTGCTTGCTACTGGATCATTAATGACAAGTTTTATGTGTTCTTTGTAGTCAAATTTTATTGAAAGTGTATACAGAAGAATAACCCCACACAGAGCAGACACAGTAACTTACTCACACAAAAAGGCTTGGGCATTGAATGATTTTGTTTTAATAGTGGGCATCAATTAACAGCCAGAGCTGAACTGAACAAGTTTAGATGAAGTCAGTGTCCCAGACGTAAAAGATTTTGTTTTCCTGTCCAGATAAATCTTTGTTAAACTGTCTCTTTAAATGTCTCCAACCTACAACAGAAGAAAAAAGAAAGTATTGTAATATCCTCTGCCAAAGGATGAACTATGTATGGTTATGATGGTATGTTTATAGTGGTCATGCATATTTATACTAGTTGAATTTCAAAAGGGACAGTGCTCAGAATATATAAAGGCAAAGAGTCATTTCTGATGACAAGAGCATATCCCTTTATTTGTCAGTCAGTTGAAATAACAATTGTACAAATATACTAACATAAAAGTAAAAATGGTTTTCTGAGAAAATGCTGCACAGTGATAACTTCTATAGGCTATCCTGGAATGCTGAGAGGAGCTATAAATATAGTATTGTTTGAACTATACCTGCTGTCTGTTATCTTTCTAAATATCGCCTCGGCCATCTAATCCAATCTGTTTGGAGCCACCTAAGTTGTGCTGCTGTCCTTCTCCTATTGAAAGTCTATTGAATGGGATGACTTTCATCGTAGTTTTCTTCATGGAATACCACCGAGAACGCCAGGTTGCCCAGATAATCCCATTGTCATATCCAGCTGGACCAACATCTTTTGCTGAGTAAGTGCCTCCTAAAATATAGATTGCAGCAGAATATATAATTGTTTGTAAAATAATTTATATGCACATGCGTGTCTGTAGTAATGAAATCCCTGTGCTAAACTATACTTACCGTGCACCATTGACTGGCTCTACCTACTAATCTATCTCCCCCAGGATTTATTCTAACATTTCAAATCTCTGAGCAGCTTCAAACTGCTGTCATAATAAAAAAATGTCAGTCTGCCAGAAAAATGTTTCCTTCTCCTCTCCAAATGTAGATTTCCCCTCAAATTACACTGGTCTTAAGTACAGATAGCCAATATTCAGTCCTGCGTGAGTGACAGGTTTAAGGTCTGAAATCTCAAGATCAGCCAAGAATCCATGGTGGTATGGTGTGGAATAAAGTTTTTATTGGTACTTGATGGACATGACCTCCATAACTCCTTCATGGCTACATGATTTATGAGTAATGTAGCCACCACAAACTTATTCTAAACTCTTTCTACTACATCATATCATCATGTATATATCCCAAACACACTGCTATTGCAGATTCCCTCTCCTCTTTTCCATTCGTACAAACTTCTGAACTATCAGGTCTATTTCTCTCCTGAATTCCCTATCCCTCACCCTTTTTTCCTTATCTTTCCACCTTGCCTTGGGGTTTTTTGCCTGTCCTCCTGCAACAGGATTATGATTGGGACTCTGCTGCTGGAGACAATACTTTTGTAACTGGAAAGCAAAAGGGAGAAACTTCTTGTGTTTGCCTCTAGCAGCAGTGGAAGACAGCACCTGTGCTTTAGCTCTTGCATACAATGCTTCCCCCCAGGCTCAGCAGAAGCTACCTGGAGTAACAAATAAGGGCAGGTAGAGTATCAACTTGTGTTGCTCAGCAGCAAAGATCAGCTGTGAAGTGTAAGGAATGGGATGGCCAAAAATAAATAAACAGCTAAAATCTACACAATGTTTTTCTCCATCACTGGAATTTGTTGTAAAGCCATGAAGTTATTTTTATATGAAGTAGGTACCCAAAGCATGTATTACCTGTATAATATTTTCCATTGAGGTTACCAGCATGACATCTATTCATCCACCATCCTGCTCCATCCTGTTCAGCACAATTGCCCTCAAATTTATCATTGTCACTATCATAGGTACTGAACTGCATGCCATTATGGGATGTAAAATATTTGTCACTGGGATCATCTCCAAAATCAAAACCATCGAGGGCATTCCCAGCTTCACCGCCAGCAACAAAATAGGCATAGGTCAGTCGGTACTTGTCTGCTTCAGGTCCCACTTTGAACACAGCATAGTCTGCAGTACTGTTAAAAAAATGGTGAATTTGTGTACACTGGATTCCCCAAACATACACAATTAGACTATAAATGACAGCATTTTAGAGTCGGTTCCTGTGTCACTCTATGTCTAATTAGAAGACATATCTAATAACTAATTAGATATTTCCTTGCCAGATTATAATATGTCACTTTAATGTACCATAATGAAGCCTTCTATACCTCTGCCCCCCCAATTTTAGGTAGTCAAAGACAGGTAAAGTGGGTCATCTCAGTGGCCTTAGAGTAGTGCTTTGCGATGGCTTTCAGGAGGTCTGAGTTAGATAAATAATCACAGTCTCCAATTGTCCATGCTGGCATGAAATGGGGATGGTGAGAGCAAATTGCTCCTGGAAGGAGAAAATGGCTTGCACCACTCAATACCTATCTCTTTCTACGGAATAGTGAAGTATGACAACAACAGGTTCTGAATGGAATCTCATCTGATTTCTAGCAGTCTACAGAGTAAATTATATTTTCCAAGGAAGATGCCAACATGGAGCTTTCATGAGCATATACTGCTTCCTTTTTGGTCACAAAGTTGCAGGTAGTGAGAGAAAATTCAACTGCAAATATATTCATGGTTTTATAAACCGATAGAGAAGGTAGTTTGAAACAAATAGGTTGATGACTGTGCATCATCCATTCTTCTGAAAGTTGTACAAACTGATCTGGTAGTGGAGACAGGTGTCTGATATCTGGTAGTAGAGACAGATATCTGTAGCTGTACCAAAAAAATCAGTACACATGACAGGTATGTATTTTAAGTTGACTTTTTTAGAAGGCTCATTCGTTAAATACCTTCTTTTATTCTCCCAGTCTTCCAGTTCTATCCTTAAAGCATATGGAATAGTAGACTGAGTGGTTATTAAATGAATCTTTTCATTTCCCAGCCAGTACTCTGTCTGATCATCTGGTGACAGGTGTCCAAATCCTTCTTTGTACTGAACCCAGTTTTTCTTGAAGTCCACGCTCCCATCAAGTCTCTGGTAGCAAAGAAAGAAAGAAAGAAAGAAAGAAAGAAAGAAAGAAAGAAAGTCAACCAAAGCAACGTGCCCTTGTAAATGAAATACTGTTATATAATCAGAATTATTCATGACCTGAATTTACAAATTACATACTCTCTGGAACACTGTCCATCCATTGCCAAATGTGTCAATCTCACAATAGACTAGGAACTGTTGCTTAGCTCCTAGAGGTTTGATGAAGTAAAGACCACTGTGTCTGGCACCTTTATGTGCAATGTCTTGACAATCTGCAATAAACAAACACCATTGTTTGTATTTTGGCTACAGTCTTATCTTGTTTTAAACATGGTTTTAAAAGTATCTGATCATTTTCTAGTACAGTGCAACATACACAATACATATAATAATTACTATGGCAAAGTTATCTCTGTAGGCTAGGTCTTCATCACACAGGAAGTCCTATTGAAGTTAACGGGACTTGTATAAGGATGAGCAGGATTTTGCTATTAGTAAATATCTAGGTAGCATAACCTGAATGTAAAATACAATAGTTTTATTTGTTTCTGTAGTCATAAAAAGGGCATTTTTAGGTCTAATGTATTAGATTAATTATCTCTGTGTGGCTGAGCAGAAATATTATAATATAGTATCCTTTCTGTTCTTATAACTCCAAAAAGCACTTGCCTGGTCTATGGACTACAATAAAGATAGGGTTTACTGAGAAAGTCAAATCTTGGCTAATCATGACCAAATGAGAAAATAAGATTTGTTCCACAACTTCCTATATGCAGAACACCTATCGAGTATTTCTGTTAAATGAAGCACTGGCCACCAAACAAACAGCCATAAAAATAGCAGTAACAAAATATAAAATGGAAAAGCATTCATTATATTGGTCATGATGCTGAGTCCCTTATTCCCAGGGGTAATTCTTAGAGAAATCAATAGATCATGTGATTAAGAATAACTCCTGTAATGAAATTTTGCAGGACCACCCATTTAAGTACTCAGATGGCCCTCACCACTATATTGTTGACAGATAACACTTAAGAATTAATCTAAGCCACACAATAAGCATTTCAGGTACCTCTTCCAGTTGTATCCAGTATTTGAACTGTGTCTCTGCATGGCTCCTGACATTGTGATGCAAGCTGATTAGTCTTCTGTTTTAGTTGTGAAATCTTGTTGGTGTTTAATATCAACATATCTGTCAGTTGCCTAGAGATAAAAACATAAAAACGACCTGTTATGCCAGTTTTTCTTAATGAGAACAATACATATTTCCCTGAAATATGCCTTACATATCTAATGTACTAATCTAAAATGTGTTGCTTTATTTAATGATCAGGGGGTAGCCGTGTTAGTCTGGATATGTAAAATCGGCAAAGAGTCCTGTGGCACCTTATAGACTAACAAACGTATTGGAGCATAAGCTTTTGTGGGTGAATACCCACTTCGTCAGATGCATGTAGTAGAAATTTCCAGAGGCAGGAATAAATATGCAAGCAATTATACCTGCCTCTGGAAATTTCCACTACATGCATCTGATGAAGTAGGTATTCACCCACGAAAGCTTATGCTCCAATACGTCTGTTAGTCTATAAAGTGCCACAGGACTCTTTGCTGCTTTTATTTAATGAGACATTGTAAATCATTTTGGCTACAGTGTGGTATTTAGCTACAGTCCTACACTAGGGGCAGTGCAGAGCTGCCCCAACCCCATACAAGCATTTGGGCATTTTGCTTTCCAGAGCTAACCATTTGCACTAGGAGGACAATAATTTGCTACAGTCAGTGCCGGCTGGTGCACAAAAACATGGAGCCAAGATTCTGCCTACTCCTCTTCTCTATCTGCCCCCTTTATTGCAAGTTGCTTTTGAGTGGGAGCAACTTGGCAGCAGCTTTTGCACTCTCCTGAGAGCAAATACTACTGTTCTGGGTAGCCCATAGGAAGGCTGTACAAGGCGGGTAGTCTCCCTCTGCGCTCTCATTTTCACTATGCTGTTGCATAAGGGCCAGCCACATTCCAGCCCTTTGTAAATACCTATTAGGGCTTCCATGTATATACATGTTTTCTAGAATGTTATTTTTGATGCAATGTTTATTACATGTATCCAGAGCTGAAATTGTATTTACGTGACCATTCCAGATCTTATCCCTTCACTACCTCCCTGTTGTTTGAATGTCTTTTGCCTTGTCAGTCCTCCAATGTACTGAGCACTCTGACACTAATCCAACAAAGTGTTTACATGCACGTTTAATTTTGAGCAGGTTCATTGTCTGATTCAGGAAAGCACTGAAGCACATGCTTAACTTGGACATGTTTTACTTGGACCAGTATCTCGTTACGCAGTGAAGCCCATTCCTGCAGTCAGTACATGGACAAAGCTCTATGGGAATTTTTCTTTTGTGAGAATTGCAGGTCTGAGTTCTGGAGGTAAAGTATATAGTAAGGTACAAGAAAGTACAATAGAAACCTGATTTTATGAAGGTTTGGAGGACTCTTGAAATCTTCATAAAACTGGGAGTTCGTAAAATCATGAGAACTTGAAATACCGTGAAAAAATAACAGGAGTCTGCATCCATAGCCCTACATATTATGAAAATTAACTATTGCATATTTGCATAAAAGAGTAAATACATTTGAGAGAAATTCATTCTAATATTATATAGAGTATATTAATTAAAAACAATATAAACCTAAATCTAATATGAAAATTAAAATCTGTCATCAGTGGGTGGTTAAATAAAAAATGCTCTCAGGCCAGGTGAGTCAAAGGCATTTAAGATAAAATATAGTTACATTAATTCTAAATGTCTAAAACTGAGATTTACTGTATATTAACCAATTATGAGTGATTCCTGGCATAATGTTATCACAGGAGCAACTTTGGCATTTAAAGTTAAATAGTACAATTACAATTTATAAATAATTATTCATTATTAAAATTTAGATAAGTTAAATATGTTTTCAAATATATAGAATAGTATAGACTTAAGATGAACACCTTTGAGTTTAATAGCGATTCTGGATTCGCTCCAATAAAACAGAGAGTAGAAATTGGTGTTCATGATGGGTGTTCAGCAAAACCAATAAAAAAGTATCAGCTAGCTAAACAAGTCTTTGGTTAGATCCATGTTACAGTTTCATGTTACTAAAATCTCTGAAGTCTAAGAATAATGAATAGAAACATTTTGAACAATTACTTAAACAAAAATACTGATTGAAAAAAAAAAAGAACAGTCAAACTTTCCCATGTTCTTTCAGCCAGATCTTGTATTTCAGTGGGAGATGTGGGTATTCAAGAAATGCAAGATCAGATCCTAATTCTGCAGTTATGAGTGAAAAGACCCCAAAATGGTCTTTATATGCAGAAATGAAGTGCTGTGAAAAAAATTAAATTGCAGCTGGTAAAATAAAATAAAGGAACAGAGCTGCATAGTTAGACAATATCAAAAGTGGGAAATACCTACTGTATAGTATGTTCATGTTCCACAATAGTGTTTTCATATCTGATAATTTCATCAATTATTTTCCTGGTTTTTTGAGTAAAACCGTCGATCACATCTGTAGAACAGGTATAATATATTAATGCAATTACATGTAAAAGTAAGAAAACCAAATTAATGCATATTTTTCTCAATTTTGTAATTGTCTTTATGTTCTCACTTGACTGAGTCTGTTTCTCTGGGGGGCTGAGGATTCGGATTTGGCGGATCAACTGTTCCGTTACAACAGAAGAGTTAGTGATCTGCTGCAAGAGATTTTCAAGGACCTGCAGCTGCTTATCCACATCAGGGTGGTATTTATTCAAGAAGTCTGCAATGCCGCATGTAGTTGGGCAATAGTTACCCTAAAGGGAAAAGAATAATTAAACATAACAGTAATAGTAATAATTAATTAATAAAGGCCCAATCCAGGTTCTACAGTGAGGCAAAAGAGATGGTCACTTAGGGCAGGAAAATATTAAGGGCAGCCCAACATTCAATAAGCATTTATGTAGGTAACTGTGGACAGGTAGGACTGGGCATTTGCTACTTTGCCTGCAGAAGCAGAATCTGTAGAGACAGTCCTGATAATGCATATTGTTATTAAATATTAAAAATAACAACATATGTTATTGATAATAGCATACTTTAGAATAATACATGGCATTATTAATGGAATTTACAGTACATTTTAAAACAATGAATGCTGTTATTAAGAGTGCCTGTAAAGCATAATATTACATTTAATAACAATAGATATTGAAAATAACAATGCATGTTAAAACAAAATAATAATGATTGTTAACTATACGTGGAACAATATTTTATTCAGCTCCTTAATTTAGAAGAAAGGAATCACACATCTACTTACAAATCGTTCATCTAAGATGCAGCAGTTTTCTCTGGTAGCAATATACTGAAAGGGAGAAAACAACATTATTTTTTAGTTATTTTTCTCCTTATGGTATTTTTGGGGCATAGTAATGGTCCGTTTGTACAATTTCACTTACTGCCATGCAAGCTGAAAAGAGTAAGGACAGGAGATGCACAGTAGCCCAGCTGTGTAAATTCAGCACCATTGTGTCTATAACAAAGTGTGCTCCCAGCTAGAGTGTGTGCAGAGTCAGTGACTGAGAGATTCAGCTGTACAGGCTGCTGGAATCTTCCCTGACTCTCCTGCACTTCACAGCAGCAGTTTAAGGGAGCTGGCTGAACCTGGGGGTGGGCACCGTGATGCAATGTGTAGGGGTGGGACAGTGGTGGAAGAACAACTTCTCAGTCCCTTTGTCCTGGATTCCCAGAATTTGCACTGAAACTCCTGCTCCTCCCACTTTTAGTACCAGTTTCCCATTCGCCCACATTATGTCCTTTGCAGCCAGGGCAGTGTTAGGATCTGGAGAAAGGTAAGGGGAGGCATAGAGCCATGCTTTCAGTAACACTGGAGTAATAAAACTAACATATGATTCTGGACAATGTTGGAATGCTGCCTGAGATGAGCCCTAGTTCTTTAGTTCAAGGAGAAGCCCCAATTACTCTCAGGGACTATATGTAAGAGGCACAGGTTATTCAATAACAACAGGCTGCTATTTTTCAAGCACTTATGTTCTTACAATCCACAGATTCCATTCTGGGGAATTGTATGTGTCAGTTGTAGAATCAAAGTGTTTTCCTTTCTAGTCACCACTGGTTCAGAACCCATGCTTTGAAAAGCGCATTGCTGCTGTAAGCAAGATTGTATGCTCTTAGGGGCAAGGACTCTCTTGTTTGTTATGTTTGTACAGTGCCTTGCCCAATAGGGCTAGAGAAAGGACAATCTTGTGGTTCGGACATTGAACAAGGACTCTAGGCTCCATTCCCAGCTCTGCTACAGATTTCAGTCTAGATCCGCAAAGCACTTAGGTGTTCCAGTCCTCAGCATTGCAGGACCCACTTTTTAGGTGCCCTGCCCCCGAGTAGAATTCACAGCCCCAGGTTAGGTATCCAGGCTTCCTATACAATGCATGGGGAAAGATTGGTGCTTAAAGAAGGAATCCTCAAAAGCCAGCAATTTAGCAGGGTGCCATCTAAGATAACCAGTGGGCAATGCCAGCCAAAGGTAGTTAGGTGATTAACTCCGGGCCAGAGGGAATTGCCTATCTCTGCTCGAGATTCACAGGCTTGTGCCCTCTCCTGGAGTTAGGCATAGAAGCCAGGTCAGCCCTTTCTCATGAAAAACCACAGAAAGAATGAACCTCTCTATGGCCAATAGCCGACTGGTTCGGGCACTCGCCTAGGGGACGTGTTTTCAATATTCATAGAAGCAAGGACATGAGTTTTGTCTCCCACATCCCAGATGAGTGCCCTAGCTATTGGGTATTCTGGGACACACACTCACATCAGGTAGCCCCCAAAATTCCCAGTCAGGTTGCCCTCAGCTGTCTTTTGTGTGCGGCCTGTTTGGGCCCCACAGATGAGACAGGCAGGGGAACGCCTAATTTAAGACTCTTGCCAGGGCTTAGGTGTGAGCTAAAGCATGGAGTGGCTTGGGGGCATCAGGGTTTAGGTGGTTTTGCACATGCCCACCAGCAGAAACTTAGATGCCCAGGGGTCTTTACTGGTGGAAATTTAGGCACTTACAGAGTTTAGGCAGTTCCAGGATGTGGTGGCACCTGAGCAGGGATTTTGAAGCTCTTGATGTTGCTTAAATGTTAGACCTAGGCACCTAACATGGCAGGTAGGCTCCTAAGTCCTTTGTTGATCTACCCCTTCCTGTATAACCAGCAGCAAGCCATTTCACTGCTCTGTGCCTCAGTTTCCAATCTGTAAAATAGGGATAATAATATAGCTATTTTACACTCTTTGCTTATCTCTTCTATTAGGATTGTAAATCTTATGTTAGAAGGACTGTCTCTCACTATGTTTTTGTACAGTGCTTAGCATTCTGGGGCCCTTATCTTGGCTGTGGCCTCTAGGTACAATTATTAATTGACTAGTTGATGAGAGGCAATGTGGCCCATTCAGCTGGGACTTAGGAGTTCTGGGTTCTATATCTAGCTCTGCTACTGGCCTACTATTTGACCTTGGGCAACTCACTTCACCTCTTTGCACCTCAGTAAAATGGGGATAATGACACTTACCTTCTTTGAGACATGCTTCAAGATCTATGGACAAATTATGCTAGATATCAGTGCTAATATGCTCCAAAACATGAGGGTTTATAGCCTTTATATTTTTATCCTATCTAATATAACTGTAGGCAGGTAAATATCAAATCTTGTTTGTATCCTGATAAAGTTTTATGTATTGATGACGTATTTTACATTGGTCTTGCCCAGCATGGATCCTACCATACACAAAAATTAGCAGGGAATACATAAATAATATAATATATAAATCCATGATACCATCAATCAAGCTGAGAGGGACATCAACAAGATGGTATAAAAGTTGTGTACATAGGTGGGGGGGATCATCTTTCTAGGGGTTGCACTGAAATTCAATTAGAGTTGGGAGCCTAACTCCCTTGGGCTCATTTGAAAATGCCAGCCAAGTGACTGGCAGCTCTCGCTTCCAAAGAATGGCATTAGCCATCTTCATCAATAATTGACTCTGCTGGCTTTAATAAGTTATGAAAGATATGGCTCCAGCTTATAGTTAATTTGTTCTGTTCTCTAGACGCCTAAAGTTGTGTAAATAAAAATGGGTAAAAGCCAAGCAGGACTTATGTATTCCCCTACCACCTCACTGGCACTGTTCACACAGAAATGGTCAAGCAGACAACAGCTATGGTATATGAATATGAATCTTGCCTATAATACGTTCCATTTGTCTTGCAGTGAGTCTCCTACCATTACTGCTCCAACATGCTCCCTTGCTGCTTCATCAGGTGCACATCATTTGTAAGCCATGGTGATCTCCTGGAATGAGACTAATGCAGGGTCCAGGGGCATCTAGAAAGCACTGTTTCAATGCTTGCAGACAACACAGATTACAATGTTTCCATTAGACTGAACAGAGTGGTTCAATGCCTAGGCAGTATAAACTGAAAACACCTATGAAAAGTAACTGGACTAACTTGAGTCATAACTGTGCACTCACAAACGGACTTGATGACAGGAGAAGCCTCCTGACCCATATCTCCTCCTGCTCAAGCTCTATCTGTATGATGGGTGAGCCATATAACAAACTATAGATATATTCTGTACTTTGTCAGGACTAGAGAAAGTGCCCTTCTCTCCTCCACAGAAGGGATTTTATCCAGGCTTGAGGCCCCCAAAGGAGCCGTTAGTGACAAGCGTGTGGGAGGAGTTATTTATTCTATGCAGAAGTTTCAGGGTTCAGAAAAAAATATTGAGTCTCGATTGGTGATGATAACTACTAGTACCCCTTGGGGGTATAGGTATTATTTCCAGAACATTTGGCTTGAAAATGGTTTTGAGGGTAATGCAATAATTCTTAATGAAGTAACTAGCCTCTGCTACCCTTACTAAGGAACCATCCACTGCTAAGAGTTTGACTGTCATAGATAATAGGTAAGTTGGGTTCTGCACATGATATCACAAGAACTAGCACAGAATATTTGGGAACCAAATTTGTGGTGAGTTGCTTGTATTATACAACTGTGATATTATTAGGTCTATGGAGTTAAAATGGATGGAGAGAACAACTGGCCCATCTGTATAATTATTGTCAAGTATCGCTTTCATTTTTAAATGTTGCTATTTTCCATCCCCAACTAGCACCTAGTTTCCCTCTCAACAGGAGCTTCAGGTTTTATACCTCATGAAATATATATCCTTTCTGTGCTTTGCAACTGTTTCTGTGGTCATGATCTAGCCCAATGGGAATTAGGTGCCTAAATATGGTTGAGGATCTGGATCTAACTCTATTGTATCTCCACTTCCTACACTCTCCTCTTGAGCTTTCATTTTGCATAAACCTGGAAATTATTTATTCCTGGCTTTCTGCTGGCTCCAAACTTGAAAATGAGATGTGTTCTTAGCATAAAGGATTTATGGTGTTTTACTCCCTCCCTAAAGAGACACTTTCTTTGTGTTACTTGTGGCCCCAGCAGAGTTAATCCATTTATAAACTGAATGTTCTCTTAGAGAATGGATGATTCATGTTTTTGGAGATCTATTTGTGCTCTACTATATGTCCAATTTAACTTGCCTATATCGATTTTTGAGCAGTTTTACCTTTCCTGTGGTTTATTTACTGATTTGCCAAGAAATGATGAATGATTAATGTAATGCAGACAGAAGGAAGATTTCTTAAATTCAGTTTACTTTTGCCATGGAGTTTATTTTTTGAGCAAAGGTGAATCAGTATGTAGTTAAAGGAGGTTTGCTAATCTAGTTCAATACTTATTAATCAGATAAGGTGACAGACAGAATTTGGGTACATTTGTTATGCAAACACAGCTTTAATTCAATTGTGAGGCTTTTTTCTTGTGTGTGTGTTTTGTCAAAGGATCATTTGAAAGCTATCCAACACTTTCCTGTTATTGGTGATAAATCCTTATGTTCAGAAGAACAAAATAAAACCATGAACCGTGTCTATGACTGTGAAATAGTTGCTAATATCTAGAACATTATTTTAATTTCTTTTGGGAATAATTAAACTAGCTTCTACTTATCTATCTCTCTTAGATTTTTTTACATAGCATTTATCGCTGTAGTATTTAATCATTGCTGCACTCATCACATTACAAAAGGCCTATTTGTAGCTTCCTACCAAACATAAAAGCAAATATACTTAAGTGGGCACATATTAATGTGCAGAAGCAGTATTATTTTATGCCCACATTTTGGGGTAGATTCTGATTTCACACTCATGTAAATCCAGACTAAGTGCACTCAGATTAAATCAGTGTAGTTATTTCAGAGTCACATTGTTGTAATGGATACCAGAATCTGGCCCTTTGATTGGCAAACCTTGCTTCTGACCCCACAACCACTCAACAATATACATGATTCCTGCTTGAAGCACAAATAATTTGTACTAATAAGGGTGCATAAGTCCCAAGTCAAAGTTACTACATGGCAGAATTGGATACCTGTGTAGACTGGTAATAGGGACAAGAAGTAAAGATGATTTTAAAAATTAATTGACTGTCATTTAAGTACTGCATAATAGCAAAGCTGAGTCAGGGTATTACAGACCTATTTATTTGAACTGT